CCCTATGGGTATTTTGGGTATTTTCCTATTATTGTGTTGGACCTGGGAGTATTTAAGACAAACTTTGAGAAGGAAAAAAGGACTTTTTGGTCGGAGAAGAATTGAACTATCAGGATTAGAGAGATCAAGGTAATTGGGAAACTGAAGGTTTTCATGAGCGGAAACCATTGAAGATCAAAGAATCCTATTATCTTGTAATGTCTAGTTTTTATTTTGTATTTTCTTTGAATAATATGAGTAGGTAAACCCCTCAATGCTAGGGGGTGTCCCTGATTTGAATCTGTAATGACTCTGATATTAGTATTGCAATGACATTTCCTTTGTTTTTGTAACTGATTTGATCTCTAGCTATTCTTAATGCTTGCCCTGTCGGACCAACAGGTTTGATTTACGATTAACGATTAGGCTGGACCGCCATTGTTAAGATTTTGCTTTTGATCATTCTTTAGTAGATATCACCTAGGACTAGGGGTACCTTATAGGAACTGGAATAATTCTTGATAATTGATTGCTTAATCTTACTTATAATTCTCTATGGACATGGGAATTAGGGTATATGATTAAAGGTTTTCTCACTAAGGACTTAGGAGTAAACATTCTAAAGAAACGGTAATTAGTTAGTTACAATAAGTTGTTGCAGTGTTAATTCAGGGTTGTTAATGAATCAAATCATACACTTCCCCTAACATGTTACTCATATTTGTTTAAACCAATTAGTCACTTTCCCTATTTTACTTGCAAATATTTTTATAATTAAACAAAACCTTTTTAAAACCCTAGAGCTTTTGTTTAACTAAAATAAAATCAGAACTCTATATCGTCAAACAGTCCTTGAGATCGACATTCGGGAAAATCCCTATTATTACTCCATTGACAAAATAGTACACTTGCTATTTTACCGATCAAGTTTTTGGCGCCGTTGCCGGGGACTGCCAAAGATCGTAGATTTTATAGTTTTATTTTAGTTAAAATTTTGTTGCTCCGCAATTAAAATTTTATTTTTTTTTAATTATTTAAAAAAAATTAAATTATTGTTGCTTCATGAATTCTTCTTTACCGTGCGACTAATAAAGTGTCTGAGTTGTGTAGTTATGAATGTTTTTTACACATTGTCACTTGTAACTCCTGCATGTTGGTCGCCTGATTCGGGAATCACTTTGGAAGAGGCGACTAAAATTTTTAAAGCATATAGGAGGGAGGTAAGAATTCTTATGAATGAATGTGAAGAAGCTAACTTTTATCCATATACTTTTATTTGGTGAGAGTTCAGGTTGGAGGAAGAATGTGTGAAAGAAGAAGAATAAGGCATGACGTCAGACGAAGAAGAAGATGTATTGGAAATAGAAGAATTTGAGGTAAACAAGAAATACGGGGAAGAAGAAAGAAGACAACTTGAAGATGATCTAGTGCTGGATGAAAATACAGATGTAACAAATTGTGTAGATGTAGACATCCAACAAGAAAATCTTCAAGAAAATAGTATCCCTAAAAACTATTTTAACAAGGAAGGTGAAAGACAAGAAATTGACAAAGTATTAGATTTCATTTATGCCTTGTTCACAAAAATCCAAATGAAAATGATTTGGAAGCAACATCATCAATACCTCAAGGTCATGGGATTGCTACCAAACAAACGAAAGAAAAAAGATGATGTGTTCTTTGTTTCATATATGCCACCTTAACAAAGAGTGATCCGTCGAGCCATGCGACGTTAAACGAAGCGCTGCGTGGGAGGCAACCCACGTTTTTAATGATTGAGTATTTTCTTTTTGTTGTTATTTTATTTTGTTTGCAGGTAGTAAACGAGACCTTACAAGTGCAAGCTAGAGTGTTGCATTACCCTCCAATTTCTCAGTAAGGATCTATGTGAGTGCATCTCTCCCACTCCTGTTCTAAAACATTGAGGATAATGTTTAGTTCAAGTTTGGGGGAGTTTTTACTGTTTTGAATCTTCATTTTAAGTACTTTTTAGTTATGTTTGGGTCCTGTTGTTTAAAAATCACCGTGAACTCTCCCCGAAAGAGGATCGTAAAAATTTTCTTATGAATATTATGATGTATGAAGTAGTCAGGAAAGTATATAGAGTTTGAGGGAAGAGGAGTTGAAGCTAGGGAATTTGGGAAAGTTTTAAAAATTGAGGTATAACCTGAAAACCCTAGATTCCCCAAAGTAAGGTAACAAGTCCAACGTGTAGATTTGTATCATAATACTTGAATTTGAGAAGTATTCCCCGATTAGTTCATAGTCATGGTCCGACACGATTAAAAAGAATCGCATGTATAAAGTTGATTGAGAGAATGACTTACGGCACCAAAAAAATAAAAAATAAAAAAATAATATATGATGAATAATGACAGTAAAGACAACTGATCCTTCTAAGTTGGGTAACCCTCACCCAGTTATTTAGCCTAACGGCGGTTGAATCTATATACTCGTCCCAAAGTAGACTAATAAACGTCAATGCACGAGAGAGAGAAAAAGAATAAAGGTGCCTTGAAAAAGTATCGATCCAATCTTATACATGTGAGGGAAAGCGATCAAAAGTGCCTTAATCTGATTATCCGAATGAAAGGGGTAGAAAATTAAAGAAAATACTTAAGCCCAAAGCATAGTTGGAGAGGTGACCGAAAGGGGGATTTAGGTCCATGGTTTTACTGTGGTGCGTGTTTGTGTAATACTTTCGTTAACGGACGATTACCAAGAGAACTAATTTTGACCGATCGGAACAAAGACTCGCGTATGAGTATCGACACACCTTACCTTCACAAATCTTTTATTTGATATATATCGGTTGATCTGAAAAGTGTTTATCCAAGCTTGTTGCTTGAGGTCAAGCAACGATTTAAGTTTGGGGGAGTTTGATCAGTGATTTTTATATGTTATTTTACCATGAGTTTTAGTTAATTATCTTATACGTTTAGTTGCATTTTATGTCCTTTTATCGTATTTTATGCGTTGGTTTGGTATTTTCATTATTTTTAGGTTCAGGTACGCAATCAAGAAGAATTAGAGCAAAAACCGGGGAAAATAGCAAGAATTCGGAAGAGTTTTTGAAATGGAACAGTGGCCTGACACAGCCCGTGTTAGAAGGGTACCAAGAGGAAGAAAACAGAGTATGAGACAGTGGGCTGACACGGGTGTCCGTGTCACCTGACACGACCCGTGTTAGCAAGTCTGGAGCAGACATTTGTGTTCATTAGATATCCATGGGGCCAACACGGCCGCCCGTGTCAGCTGACATGGCCCGTGTTGGTTGAAGCGAGTCATCTTCCAATATTCTTATTTTTTGGGCCTTTGTGATCCCTATGAGTATTTTGGGTATTTTCCTATTACTGTGTTGGACCTGGGAGTATTTGAGACAGATTTTGAGAAGGAAAAAAAGAATTTTTTGGCCGGAGAAGAATTGCACTGTCAGAATTAGAGAGATCAAGGTGATTGGAAAACTGAAGGTTTTCATGAGCGGAAGCCATTGAAGATCAAAGAATCATATTATCTTGTAATGTCTAGTTTTTATTTTGTATTTTCTTTGAATAATATGAGTAGTTAAACCCCTCAATGCTATGGGGTGTCCCTGATTTGAATTTGTAATAACTCTGATATTAGTATTGCAATGACATTTTCTTTGTTTTCATAACATATTTGATCTCTAGTTATTCTTAATGCTTGCCCTATCGGACCAACAGAGTTTGATTTACGATTAACGATTAGGCTGAACCGTCGTTGTTAAGGCTTTGCTTTTAATAGATATCACCTAGGAGTAGTAATACCCTATAGGAACCGGAATAATTCTTGATAATTGATTGCTTAATTTCACTTATAATTCTCTATGGACATAGGAATTAGGGTAGATGATTAAAGGTTAGGGTAGATGATTAAATGTTTTCTCACTAAGGACTTAAGAGTAAACATTCTAAAAAATCAGTAATTAGTTAGTTACAATAAGTTGCAATGTTAATTCAGGATTGTTACTGAGTCAGATCATACACTTCCCCTAACATGTTACTCATATTTGTTTAAACCAATTAGTCACTTTCTCTCTTTTACTTGCAAATATTTTTATAATTAAACAAAACCTTTTTAAAATCCTAGAGCTTTTATTTAACTAAAATAAAACTAGAACTCTATATCGTCAAGCAGTCTTTGAGAACGACATTCAGATAAATCTCTATTATTACTCTATTGGCAACACTTATAAACTGCTCAGGCTAGAGAGATTAAGGATCTCCAGAAGAGCAACAATAATTTGTTGGCTCAAATTATCCGTATGCAAGGACTTCTTAGAGCAGACCAAGAGATGATGGACGAATGCCAAAGAGATCAGCAAGAGTGGATGGCAAAGCACTTCCAACTAGCTCGATTTGAGAACAAAGTGTTCGAGGAGATACCCGACAGTTTGTATGAGATCATAACTTTCATGAGCAAAGACAACACGCATCCTAAGGTCTTAAGCTTTGTAACCGATTGCAATGCTAGGAACTCGTGTGGCGTTGTGACAAGGACAAGAAATATGTCCCGAAATTGTAATTTCCTTCCACTTGTTGAATAAAAAGTGACAATTTTCTTTTAAATTGTGATATTGTTACTTTTGATGTTTGCAAATGTTAAAATTTCTCAATTCCCTAACAACGGAAAACATAAAAAGAAATAAAATAAACAATCCATTGCATACATGCATCATTCACAAACTACGAGAAAATGAAATGTTAACAATTTATCAAAACTAATTTTATCAATCATCTCCAAACAGGTCTATACAATGAATTAGCAAAAGGATAGATTCTTGGCGTAGTCTTGAAAAATGCTTAATAGTCTCTACGAACACAAGGTGTGAAAGATGAAGTTATGAACATATAGCTGTGAACAAAAGGGCAATCTTCTATAGATGGATAATCACATGAAAGTTGATGTATGCTAAGAACACACTAATCTATCTATTGCTAATCAGAAACCAGAACATTAACACATACAAAATCCCTAGGGTAAGAAACCAACAGGAAACTTCAAAACACTTCCGCAACTTTGCTAGCAAGGACTTGGTCTCTCCTTTCAACATAACCAAATGGAAACCAACCTGCTCTCCCTTTGCATTCGCCCTCAGCCCATCCATTGTTTGACACCTGTCAAAATCACAATCATGTTAGGAACAATTTGAAATATGTTAATGTTGTTGTTATACATGCATGCAATAATTAAAAAAGAAAAGAGAGGGTGAGAAAGAGATAGATAATTCTTTAAATAAATGAAGCAAAATACATTTTCTGCCGAAAAAAGATACGATAATGAAGTCTGTAAATCAAAAACCTTTCGAATGACGATATAATCTCCAACAGATAAATTTAGTTCAACTTCAGACTCGGCATGATAGGGAAATAAAACCTGCACCAGTAAAATGTACAACAGAAAGTAAAGTAAGCAGTCTATTATTTTTCAACACATTATCTGTAACCTTCTTACAAGAAACAGTCTAACCTCTCCTAAGAAGTAACCCATGTTGTCTGTTATGCCATTGTGTTCCTGAGAAGCATATACACCATTCACTTCTTCATATGGTGGAGGTGGCGGCATGTTGTTGTCCACACTAGGTGTAGGAGGGGCTTCAATACGATGCCGTTCTGATACCATCTGTCATTGCATATAAACATAACACATAATCATATCTTGATTTCAAAAGACAATGATGAAACAGTCAAATGGTATATGTGACTTGAAAAACGGATCAAGAGACACCGTCACTTGCCTCTCCTTCAAGATGATCAAGTACTTCTAGCGCTCTTTGATGATAGGCACGCTCTGCTTCAACCTTCATTATCAGAAGCAGATTGCAAATTTTAAGTGGGAGAAATGATATATGATAATTTATAACTAATATTTACAATAACTGAATATTGAAGCATCATATGGTGAAACTGTAATACCATAGCTATAAGACGCTGGAGCGTTAACCTCTGTTGTTGTGCTTCAACAGCTGTCATTGCTGCAACTGCTTCCTTCCCCAATATGGCCATGTTGGCCTTCAGGTCTTGCAACTTTGTTTCTGCAGCTTCCAGTTTCATAGCATTGTCAGCATGGCCTGGTGTTTCCCTCACTTTTGCCTGGCGTTTAGAAACTTCAATAGCCTGTCTAGGTTTAAGAAACAGAGTAATTACAAAGTTCATACAAACGAAAAATTATTTACAAACTATTTACTTATTCAGATATTTACCAAGAGAGAAAAAAGTTGGCAACTATTAAAAAAAATGAAACTCAAGATACCTGAGCTTCAGCATCCTGCCGCATTCTGTCATAACGTTGAGCAAGATGCCTAGCATCCTCCAAAGGAGCACCCGTCACCATTGCTCTTAAGGGCTCTGCAACCTAAGCATCAGCCAATACTTCAATTGATCATAAAATAGAGATGGCAAGCAAGCATACATCAGATAAGTTAACAATGAGTTGGCATATAAATAAACACAGTGAGAAAGATTAACACAACAAATGTATCTGAATTTTAATAAGTTTGATTCAATATTGGACTTGGACCTGGCCTAGATATTCACTCACATTCAGGTTTATTGAATTAAAACAGCTCAACTAGGGAGAAAAAGCAAACGTTACTAACCTAAATTCAGATTGAAATATCTATAATTCTGTAAAATCCCATTCTGAAGAAAATCAAAGAATTACATATATGAAGCCATATTTGAACCCTGAAATCATGCAATTACAAGTGGTGCTACGATGGCTAATGCATAGCACTAAAGAAAAGGTATTGACCAACCCAAACCGTTTTAAATTAAAAACCAACCCGACCTGTATCAAAAAAACATTACTGGGTACCTGCATTTAAAATTGGTAAAAATATTGGAAGTCCAATCCTAAAATATCGTTTTGGTTCTTCTTGTCTGAACCTCTAAGTCAAGACAATCACAAAAAGCCTAAGGCTTGTCGTGTTATAACTGATTCACACTAGTTATTGAATTGGTTTTTTCAAACCAAAGCAGATTGCTTTCTTTGCACCGGTTTATTTTTCATAAACCACTCCAAAACCAGTTTTGTTTTTAATCCGTTTTGTGATTTTAAAAGAAACACCAACCAACCAAAAAAAAACAAGCCTTATTCCATCATAATGTTCTATCCATGACCATGTTTTTATATTTGTGTTTTTAAAAGAAACACAAATATAAAAAATTATATGCACTAATATACAGCACTAGACCAAAAGACAAGTACAAAAATAAACAACAACGCAACTCAAAGAGCAAACAAGAGAGTCTATGGGATTTTCTTTGACACCTAGACAACAACCTTCTCAGCACTATCAGAACCTTTCAAGAAATGTTTTACTTGGCCATACTTGACTTTCAGCTACATAATACCATGAATTAAATAAATAATGCAATGTTTGTTGGCTAAAAAGTAGGATCCCAAGCATTTGATAGTGTTAAAAACTGAATGCTGGAATTTTGAATGAAATGGAAATACTTAAATTTCAACTATCAAGTGAACAGAATACTGTCGAGGGTTGAGTGAACACTGAAAACAGAAGTAGAAAAAAAAAGCATACTCATGATTTTAATCTAGCATGGTGAAGCTTGGACTTAAAATAAACCGCAAATTAAAGAGAAACATACGCAGTATACATCCAAACAATGATACTTTAACATTAATGATCTATAGAAATCACATTATTTCGACGCAAAATAGTAAGTATTGTTGTGAAACTTAACCCTATGATGTGCGTTTGTGCATATATTAGTGTAGATACCTGTGTGCCGAGAGCTTTTAATAAGTTTCCACGTTCCTTCTCCATTTGTGCTCGGGCACGTGCATAATTTAGTGCAGCTCTTGATAATGTACTACCACTGGTACATGTATTTTCTGCACCATATTTCCTGCTATCTTCTGACAACTTTGTTCCTATTAAATAACATGTATAGAATTAGAAACTGAATAATAATATGATAGGAACTAGTATTGAGACAGAAAATAAGATCTAACTCTTTGAAAATATCACCCTTACATCGAAAATATACAGCTAAAAAATGGAAATACAGATGATGGAATAGAAGAAATGCAGAAATATAAGATATAACAAACACAGATGATACATAAACTCTACCCTCCCTAGCATGCCAGAGGCCCGTCATGTACTAAGTTCTATAAACTAACTGAAAAGAAAACTTGATGACAGCTTCACCAACCAATAGGACTAACCTATTTCAACTTGCTTTGATCCAGTAACAATATAACCTTCTACTCCACGGACAATATCCCTTTGATAATGCTGAAAAATTAATACATGTGATCCTTGGTAAAGAAGTAAGGGTATAAATTGAGACGAAACACAAACCAAATTAGAGGATTGGTGGAGAAGAACGTGTAACCTTTCCTGCACGTGTGGAAATGTAAAGCTTCTCAAGTTTCTGATGTTGCTGAAGCTCTGCCTCATCAGTAACCATGTTATCCGAACCTCCATATCCCCCAGCCCCAAACTGTTTCAGCACAGCCTAAACCACAATAATTGAGATTAATGATTAACACCTAAATAGATGAAGCTAGCAAGAGTAAGGAACAATTGAGAACAGGAGCAAGAAATGAATTGAATATTTGTCATCAAAATTAATCTAAGAAACTTTATTCGAGAGATGAGAGAATAAGCACAGTTATAGATAAGGTAATCCTAAAGCAAAGAATCGATGAATTTTCTGATTTATGTTCCCTCCTATAGAAAAAAGGAGAAAACACCAGTAATACAGGTACTACAAAATACTGTGAATGTAAACCCATTTTATCCAAATTTTCATTTCTTTTTACTTTGTTATGTGCCTATGGGCAATGTATGTGGACCCAAACATTATTCTTCTTGGCATCATGCATTAGGACGACACAAAAGTGCATCTAGGCAGTAAGCCTTTGTAGGATACTATAGCAGCTCATATACAAGCCTTACAAGGTATCCAATCTTTTTTCTTTTTTTGTAATGAAATGCATCAAGTAAAGTGCTAAGACATGATATATTGAGTTTGAAATGCAAGGAAATGACTGCAATGCTTCTATCCATATTCATCCGTGAAATGTAATATCATAGCAAAACAAATACCAAAATTGATTAAGTAAGTCGTTTCCAGACATAAATCAACTTAGTTCCAGCTTCCAAGTAACCAAAGATGCAATGCAAGCCACCTCCCATTTAAAACATCTTCAGATAATCAGAAAACATCTAAGTGGTATCCTCTTTCACATGATAAACCATCAATTTAGTCCTAAAGTATTGCTCACTCCAATTTAATCCCAAGAGTAGTATATAAATGATAAATAGCCTCTATAAAGTACATGAAGTACTTCATTTTAGTCACTAAAGTATATGAATATCCATGATACTAGTCCCTCGCATCTTAATTGCAGGTACTAAGATGACAAATTTCACCAATCGTTAGTTGGTTCAGTGGTGATTGACGCTGGACTTGGTAGGGAGGACCACGGTTTGACCTCCGCAACCCCGACTAGAACCACTTGATGTCAGAACTTTGATGTCAGAACTAACCCCGAACCAGATTAGTCGGTCCAATGGGCCGAAAACTAGTGGTGAAAACCAAAATAGTTTAGAAACTACATAGATGGTTTATTCCCTATTTCATATGTAATAAACACCATCAATTTGACCCCTAAAGTATTACTCTGTCTTCAATTTAGTCCTTAAAATAAAAAAATAACAAATAGTTTCTAAAGCATAAGAAAATCCGCCAGATCAGTCGCAGTTCGAATATATGCAAAATTACCAGCTAAAAACTGAAGTGATTATAGGTTTTGTTAAGAAGAACCTGTTGTTGGCGAGCGACTTGTTCTCGAAGCTTCGATGCTTGTTTTCTGATAGCTTCCATTCAACTCAACGCAAAACCAACCCAATCGATTTCTTGAATTCAATCGAATCGCACACTTTTGATTCACACCACCGAAACGATTTTGCTCTACTTGTACTTGTACCAGAGAGAGAGAGAGAGAGAGATTTTTCAAAATACAGTATTCTGTTTGAAAATGGAAATTTACAAAAACGGAACGGTGTTTTTTAAGTACTCATTCTTTGACGTATAATTCAAAACACCTCTAGATGTCTTTTTCATTTTACACTCTTTTTAGATAATTATTAATTATATTCATTGCAATGGTAAATTAAATTTTATTTATTAAAATATATTATTATTTATAGTCAATGAAATAGATAGTTTAGATAAAATATAATAAATAATATATAACAGTGTCATCTCTCATGTGTCTAATCTAGCGGTTCAGAATTTATAATATATAATTAAATAAAAAAAATCATTTAATAGGAGAGAAAAATGAATAAGTAATTTGTCTTTGTTATTTTTATCTTTGTTGTTTAATTAGTCATTATAAATTCTGAATTTTTAGATTAAAAGCATGAGAGATGACATGATATATAAAAAAAAAATCCAAATCCATAACTTAGATAAAATATAATAAATAATATATAATATATAGTGATAAATATTGGTAATATAAAAATATAAACAGTTTTAGATAAGAAATATTAAAAAAACCATGTAATATTTAATATGAAATGAAGAGAGTAGTTAACATAGATTTTCTCTATTTTTAAGTTGGAGTTTTTTAATAGTCACGACAATAACAACAACAACTTTTGAATAGTTGTGAAGTTTTCACATTAAGTCTTTTGTTTTTGCCGCTTACGCGCTATCGTCGTTATCGGTCAAACCATTATATAGAGGTGTATCTAAGCCTCCAAGATTGTTATTTCAAAATATTCTCACGGAAGACCAAAGAGTCACTACTGCCAAAAAAAATAGTATATTTAATTGAAAAGGGATTTATAAAGAAATTTTTATCACATACCCCTTCATTTGTCTCTCTACTCTTATAAGTTATGAATTTGGACCAAAATACCCCAATATAAATAGACTTTAAATATTTTTACTTTTTTCTCATTTCATATTAGAGAAAGCGAGAGTACTAGAAAGACATTTGTTTCGATAACGTACTAGAGAACACGAGTCATAGTTATCTAGTTCTTTATTTTTCAAACCGGAAATCTCACAAATAAGTTATTCGGTTTGATTTAGGAAAATATTACATAACGGATAACTTGGCATGTAGTAATTCGGTTCACATATATCTTAACCATGTTATCCAATTCTTAATGTTGTATACCGAAAAACTAGCACCAAGGTTTTTGACTTTTAATTTCATCTGGAGAACATAGTTCAAGGTTATCAGGTTCAAGTTTTTAACTTCTATTTTTTTTTTTGTTATTTTTAGTGTCGTGCATTAGAGGTCGGGATGAGAACATTTTCAACAAACGGGTGAAAAACGACAACCTCGACAGGTGATGGATGGAAAGGAACATCAGATAGTCGTACTTGAGCCTCGTCCACGACAACCATAGTTTCTCGAAGGACCGTTCGATACGTCTCTGGTGAGGTATTATGATCATGTTGCTCGCCATTTGTGGTTCGACAAAGTAAGTTAATCTCTATCATTTTATGTTGAATCATTTTTTTAATTTTAATTACTTATATTTTATAATGTATACTATAAATTATTTTTAGGAGAGAAATTCGAAGAAAGAATTAAATATTGTTGCACATGGTAGCAAATTGATAGGATAAGTTCCGCACAGTCTCCCACTGCTGATAAAGAGATGATTGTCTGATTCTGGTTTATCCTCTCTACAGAGAACTGGTTTGTCGAGGATATATCAAAATTTAGTATCAGCATTTGTAGAAAGATGGCATCCAAAAACATCGTCATTTCATATGTCATTTGGTGAGATGGCCATTACATTGGACGATGTTTCTTGTCTTCTTCATTTACCGTGTAAGGGGTTCTGTAACCCTACTCACGGTTTCGCTGATGCTGATGTTATTACTCTTGTTATTGATTTGTTGGGTGTTTCATTGGATAAGGAAATTGAAGAGGTTTGGAATTGTAAGGGCGTTTATTATAGGTTGGATTAGTTTAAGGAGATATTTATGCGTCAATGAGCTGAGAGTATATTTAACTGTGCTATTGAAGCCTATATGTTGTTGTTAATAGGTTGCACCATTTTTGCAGAAAAGACTTGTACTCTTGTATATGTAAAGTATTTGTCACTATTTAGGGACTTACCTGGATGTGGTATATATAGTTGGGGACAACTACACTTGTCACACTCTACAAATATATAGGGGATGCTTCTTTTTATACTTGTAAGAAGCTTGGCGGATATGCTTCTCTGCTACAGGTACAAATGTTTTATTTTAATTTTATTTTGACTTATATTTACTTATTTAATTTTAATTGATAATATTCATGTTGTGTAATAGTGTTAGATTCATGAGTATTTTCTAGTTGTTGGCAGAAGAGGATTGTTTAAAATTGCTAGTATTAATAGTTCACTTCCCAGGGAGATGAAATGGGTGTACAAGCAAGGTGCATTGAAGGTTGATGAGCTTAAGTTTGTGTTAGATGCATTGACATATGCTGATGTCATTTGGCGCCCTTTTGAGAATCATAGACAATATCGTCCATTTGATGATGTATGTCTGTACAGGGGTGGCTTGAAATGGTATGACACAATTGTAATACACTTACTTGACAGATGTATGCGTCAGGCTGGATATAGGCAATACATACCACCTTCACCTCTTGATTCTAACACACTTGATATGGATTTTGAGTGTTGTACATCATGTGAGCGTAATGGAAGTGATCTATCTGACAGTTTTCACTACCACCTCATAGGATGTGGATGATGATTACTTAGATTGGTACTATAGGGTGTCATATCCTTGTTTGGTACCACCACCTTGGGGGGAGGTGATACAGGTCTTAATTTCTGTCTATGAAAAAGGACCGTTAGATCTGAGGTTATCATTTAATTCACATGAGCTTTGTCGTTATTTACATTGTCACGAGTCTGATAAGGATGACAATGATTTTGTTGAGGTATTTCGACCACTACGTGTAGCTCATAGTGGACCAGTATCTCAGACCGATAAGGACGATGATGATTGATGTCTTATTTACAAATTTGAATTATGTAGTATTTTCATACTAGTGAGTTATTTACTATTATGACTCGTGTAGTATTTTCGGACTTATGCAATATAATCCAAAATATAACATAAAGTCAATTGTCAATATAAACCAAAATATAACAATCATATTACAATTATAATTAAACATATTGCGACACTACAGGCGCAAGGTGTTGTTAATGTTGTAACCTTCCAGCAAATCCTATTTTCCAAGAAGTTGCATCTGGTGTGCGATACTTCTTCCAATCTAATGTGATTAGTGATAGCGGAAATCCTTCATTCATGTTTACATGTTTAGAAAATTAATATCAAAAGAAAAATAAGTAAAGCATAAATGAAAGATAAGTAATTAACCAAACAAACATGAGTATTTATCTACCTGAACCCAACGATCTTGGTTTACAAAATAAATGTAGTAAATGGATACATTAGGTAAATTTGAAGTCGTCATAGGAAATAAAGTCAAACTAGGATAACCCAAAGATACGAGAATGACGTTACACCGATTTTCTATCACATAACCAATTTCTGGTACTGTCGTCTATTTTTCTAGGAGTTAAGGACCTAAAGAAGATATCATCGAGGATTCTCTCACTTCTGATAAGCGACTTCCAAATAACTCCTCATAGAGACTGCTTCAAGAACCTTTAATTTCATTATCCAAGTCACGATGAACGATTGGCCAACCACCATCACCATATCTATGCAATGATGTAATGACTCTAAACCTACAATTTCCATCACTATTAACCTCGACAATGTCATCAATGAATGGTCTGATATGATTTGGAAATTGTATAATGAACTTATTAGATGGTTTATTCTTTGAGGTTTGGGATAACTATAAACATAACCTCTTCGAAGATTTTTGAGAACTAGAGTTTGCTTGATCAACATATTTATGATATGAAAGATCACGGTAAACATCATATCCCACAGGTTTCTTCCCTTTCGTCTTCACTTCTCCTTTGGTTTTTATTTTTTCAGACAGTGGACACATCTTTGTTGTAGCGGAGTCAGCAAATTCACACAACTTACTTTTTAGTGCTCTTGCAACATCTAGTGACATGAACCTTTTCCACAGTGCATCAATTGCATTGGTTATGTCCACCTCTGATCCATCATATGCATCTATCGCTTGTTCACCTTTCATGCTTAGCTTCCTCCAATGGAAATGAATGACATCAATTGGTATTGGATCACCACTCAATATGCATCTCCCTAACTCACAAGCACAAGGTAACCCATATAAATTTCTATGAGTACACCCGCACATTTGGGTGTTTGTACCCATAATGTCAACCCTTAACCATTATTTAGTAATGTGTCTCAAAGCAACTCTTGATACTGATCCACAAAAATTCCTATTAAATGGACTAGTGCCGTGTGTTCAACTTCATAAAAAATATTCTAAAATGAAGCTCTAATATTGCCTAATTGTACCTTGATATTACCATTCAAAGCCTCCCAACATTTTCACATATTAACTCTGTTGTTCTCCAAAATTTGCTTTAGTTTCCAATGCGCAAACTTAACCCTAAAAAAAACAAATCAGTATCATTAATATCAAGTTAAACAAACTATGGCTAAAATCAAACATACCTATTAGTCGTGGTATTGCCCAAATTCAACACTTGATTAAACTAAGCTCCAATAAATCCCTGACTATGAGGAGTCAACCACGTGTCTTTCAAATAACCAAAAAATGGTTTAAAATAAACACATGTGTGCTCAAGCTGTTGCAACTGTTAATGGTACTCCACCTCATCATTAGCCCTTACAAGTTCATACCATAGTTTCTCTATCGACTCTCGCATATCATT